AAAAAAAAAAAAAAGAAAAGAAAAGAAAGAAAAGAAAATGTGCTTCCTAAAAAGTGAAATTAAAAAAATTTTTTCCATCATTTTCATTTCTATTTTTACATATGTTTTATATTGGCCATAATGTATTAGTGCAGTAACTTATATTTGTTATTCATTAATATAAATTTATCAATTATTACCGTGTTTTGCAATGTATAATGTATACCCATGTTTTAGACCCAAACTTTCAGAGAAAAAAATCTTTCATTGGAATATGGATTTAATTTTTATTCAAATTTTTATTTATATTTAGGTGTTTTTTGTTTTATAAAGGAATTTTAGTGTTTATTTATTTAATATTTTTTTTGAGACAATCTCATTATGTCACCCTCAGTAGAGTGCCATGGCGTCACAGCTCACAGCAACCTCAAACTCTTGGACTCAAGTGATTCTCTTGCCTGAGCTTCCCAAGTAGGTTGAACTACAGGTGCCTGCCACAATGCCTGGCTATTTTTTTGTTGTGGTTGTCATTGTTGTTTAGCAGGCCCTGGCTGGGTTTGAACCTGCCAACCTCAGTGTATGTGGCTGGTGCACTAACCACTGAGCTATGGGTGCTGAGCCTAGTGTTTATTTTTTAACATATTATGGTAAAGGAAATTTTATGTAACAACCACAAAACACAAGAACAGATACAAGGTACAAGAAATTGTATGTACTGGTGACAAATTTACAATATTTGGAAGTCGTAGTAGGTTCCTCATGATCAGTATCAGAAGCATCATTGTCCTCCATTTCTACATTCCTGGTGTCTTCTGAAGAGTCACTTTCTTCACCTTGGTAAACTTCATCATCTTCAGTTCCATCCACAGCATTGCCGATGCCACATTTTTAGAGTGATTTCACAACCATTTCCTTCTTCACACCACTCCACGACCAACGTGGGCGCTGGATGTTTTCTCAATTCTGCCTGTAGGTGTTAAATTATCACCCGCTGGCGGCAGCCGTGATGTCCACTTTTTCTTCGTTAAAACCACACGTTGCTCTTCATTGGCCAAAAATGCTTTTGCTGCAAGTTTGTCATAAGTTCGACAAAACCAATTAGCATATTCCAGGGTATTATTTTGCATATGGATATTGTTACTGCTTTCTAGAATTACATTTTTAATGCAGAAGCATAAATAAAAGAATTTATTTAGACAGATACAAAGTTAGTACTGCCCATGTGTAAGGTGCATCCTTATTTTTCCCTCAAAAATTTGGGCCAAAAGGTGACCACAATACACAGCAAAATGTAGTACTTGTTCTTCATGACTAGAAATATACAAAAAGTTTGGAGTTTTGTATGTTTTGAACTTGCCTACCCAGCCAGACTGGGAGTTCCCTGGAAGCTCGGATCTTGTAGAGCATACTCACTTGGGAATACAGCTTGTTAAAACACCAATCTGGAAGGAAGTTTGCTCACCTGGCCTCTGTTTGTGACCTCAATCCTAATTTCATTGTCAGCTGGAGTTAGACAGTTCATATGATCAGCCTTAATAGGGGAAAGACTTTATTTTGAGGCTTTATAAAGAGAACCGGCTCAGCTCCTGTGGCTCAAGTGGCTAAGGCGCCAGCCACATACACCTAAGGTGGCGGGTTCGAATCCCCAGCCCGGGCCGGCCAAACAACAATGATGGCTGCAACCAAAAAATGGCCGGGCATTGTGG